CGAGAAAGTTGTAGACGGAGGGAAAACTCGGGGGCAGCTGGGAAAAACACTGAAATACTGAGATTTCCGTAAATCAAACCTCAAAAACACTGGAGAATGGGGATCTACACAGAGAAATAGGAGCTCGTTGATCATGTTGTACAGGGATTTGCACACAAGTTCACTGATTGCAAAGAGACTAAACGGTGGAAAAGGTTCGAAGCGAATCGGGCTTAAGAAATATCTTCTTATGTTATTTTCTATCTTCTTGTGCAGAAAAGTGGTTCTTTTCTGTGAAATCTTATTTAATGTTTTGATTTGAATATCTGATTGTCTTGTCTCGCCCCTGAAAGATTGCTTTTAAGATAAAGGGACGAATATAAGGGACGGAGCCCATTTTACATTAGCTCATTCCTTTCCGTCTATTCTTTCCACATTCCTTTGGTATTGCCTTTCGTATTGCTATGAAACACTGAACCAACGATTGATTCTATTTTATTGTATTTTCTCACTAGATTAGTATTGTGCTAGATTCTGAATAAATATCTAATAATCAACGCCCCTATCGGTATTCGCTCACACACTGCACACTTCTTATGTTAATCTTAAAATTTTCGTGAAAAGAAGAGTTCTTTTTTTATCAGCGTATCAAGGATTGAATCAGAGCCTATATGCTATTAGGTTGATGCATAAGTGTTTTTTGTTCCTTTTCGTCTGCCCGTTTCAAGCCAACAAATGCACCAATTAAACTACGGTTGATTTCATTAGAAAAACCAATTATTTTTCTGCAAAATAACATTAAAACGGGTTTAAAAATATTTAATGCCTGGATTTTTCTTGAGAGTATGAAGTCGGGTAGTCAAAAAGGGCTAACTCGATGATGCGGTTTAGACACCTTAGCTAAAGAAAACCTATCTTCGTGTCAATAGATAAAAGATAGAGAAAAAAAAGTTTGGCTAGTACGGGCTAGTACGTTGGCTAGTACGGGCTAGTACGTAAGGCTAGTACGTTCCGCGTGTTTTTGCGTGGCGCGAAGAACGCGAAGCACCCGTGAGAGAAGCGAAGAACGCGAAACGTTGAAACAGCTAACGACTAAACAAACCAACCAATCATAGGCAGAGTCTCAACAGATCGCAGCTATACTGCTCTACTGAGTACAACACCTTGACCAGCGATCAAGTCGTATGCAAGTGATCTTGCGCCCTCGAGAAACCGAAGTGATCCGGCTTTGGCAACTCGCTAGGATTCACCCAACGAGTCGGGTAGTCAAAAGTCAAAATGAAGTCGGGTAGTCAAAAAGGGCTAACTCGATGATGCGGTTTAGCAACCTTAGCTAAAGAAAACCTATCTTCGTGTCAATAGATAAAAGATAGAGAAAAAAAACGTTTGATATTTCGCCAAAATTTCAGAGAAATACATTCAGCCAATTTTTCCGTAGAGTTTTTTATAGATTTTTACGAAAAAGGCGTTTTTCACTCTCGAATTTGCCTGAAAGTGAACCGAAATTCATTTAAAAGATGCAAATTGAACAAAAAAACACTTTTTTTATAGAGCAAACTATAGATTTATTGGTGAATTTGTTACTTTTTTAACAGAAGTACGAAAAAAACGAAAGACTTATGCATCAACCCTAATACAATCGGGGGAATTTATCTAGCGGGATTTTCCCCTAACATTTCCCAAGCCCAGCTACTCAAGGGAATATTTCCCTGAGGAAAACACAATGTAGAGGAAAAATTTCCTTTTGGGAAAATACATTGAATTTTAATAAATGCTATATTAATGCCGACAATCATAAATATTTTTTTAATTCGCGAGGGTAGAGATTTGGGTGACCGATTACTTTCAATGTTGTCTGCAAAGTGACGTTGTCTTGCTAGTGACTTGCTGGTGACTGGTGATCAACGGACTTGTTTATTTCGAATTATTAGAGCCCAGAAAAACAGTTAATTCATGTTTTATTCAACAGCTCAAGAAGGTTAACCAAATTTTGCGTCAAAAGGGTTTAAATCCCTCGATTTTCAATTTTCTCCGTGACAGCTCACACGGCAAAGCTTCTTGTATGGAGTTAGAGGTATTAGGATGGAAGGCATCGCCTTATATCGCCTTATATTGCCATATAGTCTAGACTTATCACCATCTGGTTTTCATCTGTTCAGATCAATGCAACATTTCCTTGTGAATTCAAAATGCGCAAGAGGTCGAGATTTGGGTGACCGATTACTTTCAATCAGAATCAAGAGTTCTTCGACTACAAATTCCAGTTCAAGATTCCCTATTGACAATCATAAATAGCTGAAAGTGAAATGAAAAATTCTTTTTATAAGCCTATTTTGAATCTGTCGAATCATCGAAGCGAATTTCACCCGTTCAAAGGTTTCAAGAGCCGTTCAAAGCGATGTTGAGCATGCATTTGGTCAACTCAAAGGCACTTCACTCTACTTTGTGATGAAATTCGACAGCAGCCATGTATTGCGGACAATTTGATATTGACTCTTGTCTTTCAGAGTTTCTCTGAAAGGAGAAAATTTGTCGAATCGTCGAAGCGAATTTCATCAAAGCCGTTCAAAACGATGAGGAGGATGATGCGGACCAATCGGCCGACCCGATCGCATTGGCAAAGGTTATCTTATTTTTTTTTATGACAATTGCCGTTTATTTAAAAATTAATTTTTCATTCTATTTTATGATGATTTCCCTACATAATTTATCTATTAATAAAATCTTTCTCTCACCATTTCTTGTTGTTTTTCATGTTAAATTATTGCCGTTGATTTTCATTTAAATTATTGCTTTGTGTAGTTGTATAAAACTTTTGTCAGATACTCATCTTGTTATTGGCTAACTGAATGGCGCTAATCGTTAAACATATTGATGAAGATTTCGGAAATTTCCTCGATTTTTCCCCCAGCTGAGGTGCTGGGGTGAGGAAATTTTACAAAGAAAAAACTCAAAAAAATTTCCCCTATGGATTTTTGGGGAAAATCGCGTTTTCTCAGGGGATGATAACCCTGTTTTTGATTTGTTTTCTCCACGGAAACGATTTTTACGGCCTAATTGTAAGGGGAAAAATCCCTAGGGAAAACAGACAATTCCTCAAGCATTTTCCCCGAGCATAGCTGCGAGGCAAGTACGAATTTCCCCGGGATAATGAAATTCCCAAGCCTAGCATACGGGTAGGAAATAGATTGAGCAGAAAATAGATTGCCAAGACGTTAATCGGGCTATGCGTGTGTGTTCTAGCTAGATCTAGAGCTAATTCTAGATCGTTAAGCAATTCTAGTAACGCAAGTGAATTCACAGGGGTCATAAAAGTTAGCTCTTTTGTTCTCATCAATCTGCATCAAAAAAAAACTAGAATTCTGTTTGAAAATCACCGAATCGGAAACGTTAAGCAATCATTTTTGAGCAAGAAATAAATTGCCAGGACGTTAATCGGAAGAGATGCCAATAAAAGCTGAAATTTCAAAAAATATTAAACAAAGGACACCGTTGACTGTACCGTGATCGTCGCCAACGATTCCCGGCTAATAATCCGTGTCTGCAGTTCAAAGGATATATCGAGTTTACCATCAAATGCTGCTCTGGCATCAATGGTGGTCACAGCAAGAATGGTCAAAGCGTGGTATGAGCCTGAATACATCAAAGCCTGAATGCATCAAAGCCTGAATACATCAAAGCCTGAATACATCAAAAACCCCCACTTTTCTGTAGATTTTTGCGTTCTTACTTTGATAAAGATCTATAAAAAAATTTACCAACAAGTGCTATCTCCAATAGAATCACTTTGAAGAAGTCAAAATAGGCAAACAAATCAAAAACAGGGTTACTCATCATAAATGGGGGACTAGTTTCAATGAAACACAGCGAAAAGAATGAACAAAGTTTTGCTTTTTTTTGTAATTTCGCTCGATAAATTGATTAATCTCTAGCTTACACTTGGCCGATAACTCAATTTGGACTAAGATAAACGAATATTTCAAACGAATCTTTGGTTTTTTTGAAACAAGATCAAATGAAAGATCAAATGAAAAGATCAAATGAAAAATTAAACGAAAATCAAATGACAAATTATCGTATTCTTTCTAATAGTAGCCTAAGCTTTGCCTAAATTCCTCGAAATCTCGAGAACCGCTTATCAGAACCTATCGATGTGGGGTCGGAAAATGTAGCTGGCGATAAGATCTAGTTGGTTGTTAAAGTGATCTTGTGAACTTGCCAGCGTGAACTTGTCAGCGTGATTGGAACCCTCGCCCATCCGCTTAAGAGACAAAACTCCTTAACGGATCGGCCAGCTGGCCAAGTACCGTATTCTCTCTAATAGTCTCTCTAAAATCTAGTTTACATAAAATATAAACACTCATCGTTGATGAATTACAATAGCTAGAAAAAGAGTTGTTCTTTTGTTGTTGTCGTGTTCCCGCCCAAATCCCCAGCGGAAAAGGAACGATAGTGATCCTTTTCCGTTGGTCTCCCAAAAAAACATCTTATTAAACTACCAGCAAACTTTTTAACTGTTTATAATCATTTACATCATAAATATTTGAAAACAAGCCATTTCATGGCAAACTGATTGCAACAGCATTAAACCACGCATTTCCAATCAGCTAAAAGAAAACAGAGATCAGAGGAGGTTGACAAGAGGAGGTTGACAAGAGGAGGTTGACAAGAGGAGGTTGACAAGAGGGAGGTTGATCAGAGGAAGTTGACAAGAGGAGGTTGACAAGAGGAGGTTGATCAGAGGAGGCTGACAAGAGGAGGTTGATCAGAGGAGGCTGACAAGAGGAGGTTGACAAGAGGAGGTTGACCAGAGGAAGTTGGCAAGAGGAGGTTGACAAGAGGAGGTTGAATTATATTAGCTTCTACACTACACAGGCTTCTATTAGAATAAAAAGATAATACCAATTTTACTCTTTATGACAAAATTTCTTCAAAGAGATTAGAGCAAAAAAAAGTTTTTTTTAAACTTTATTGAAAAAAGAAGAAACATTTAAAGGTCTCCTTTAGCTAATGATCCGTTACTGATCCCGTTTTCTAACATTTACAGTGACAGAAGCCGGTGATACGGTGAACCATCCAGAATGATCAAGTTTCTTCTAAAAAGACAAAATGCTAAATGGTTTAATGTGCTAACAAACCTCGGTTTTCGGTCCACAAATCAGTTCATACTCGCGAAGGATTCTCGCTAAGGCGATTTTTTGCTCGATATATGCCAATCTCATGCCTAAATACTTGCAGTTTATGTTCAATTTCCTTAGAATTCCCTTAGAATTCCTTAAATTCCCTTAGAATTAGAATTCCTCACCAACGCATTGTCGTGGGCCGGCGCCGAAAGCAAGATAGGCATCTTTTTGATTAGACGTTAGATCGAGCCACCTGAAAACATTGGGATCTTGTTTTATTTTTCTTGTTTCTTGAAATGAAATGTGAATCCCGTGCCCTAGAATCTTTGCTCTTTTTATCATTTCATCATGGATTTCCTTTAAGTTTTTCCTTTTCCTTCTACCTATCCGGCTTGAATTCTTCTGCATCAGCGCCCCAGATCTCTTTGTCTCGTTGAAGCGAATAGGAATCTACCTATAAAAAATAGATTGCTCATTGTTGTTGTTGTTCTTCTTCTTCAATGCTATAAGAGGTTTTCTGTGTAATTGTGTTCTACCTGAACTTTATCCCCTTTCTTCAATCGAATGCCCGCGATTTCTAGATCTTGTCCAGCAACCCTGCCAACAACACTGAAATTTAAGATTCGATGGAGTTGAAGATACGATTTCTTCATAATATTTGTGCTGTGCGTATTACAAGGGATGGTTAACTGGCTGAGCCGGTCAAATGCTATGCAACCGATATACAACCGATACCATTCAACGCAGAATTTAATGCTGATTCCGAATATCTATTCCGTCTTTGCTAAATGACAATCTGCCAGCAACTATAAGCGTCTAAAGTTTGTTAGGACTCTGAAAATGTGGTCTTTTGGGTCTTAACGAACTCCTTGTGCAGTGCCAGTGCAGCCGTGGTCGAGTGGTTGGCTAAGACCCAAATGACTACATTTTCAGACTCTAACAAACTTTAGACGCTTGTAACGTCTGGCAGATTGTCATTTAACAAAAATGGAATATATACTCGGAATCAGCATAAAATTCTGCGTTAAATGGTATAGATTGCATAGGATTTGACCGGCTCAGCCAGTTGACCATCCGTTGTTAGTTTTCTGTAGGAAAGTAGACGACTAGCCGTCTACTTTCCCACTCATTTACTTACATAGTGGCATGTGGATTGAGACGGAGGGTCTCCTTCACGACACAATCCATGTATTTCAGCTCTGATAAATCGTCGTAACCGATTTCCGGCTGTTCCCCGCAAACTTGATCGATTTCTTCTTGGAGTCGACGCTGGCACTGAAACGACTTTTTTTTGATACAGTTTAGTATAGTAATATAGCGTAAATAAACAGCTAAAGATCGAAAAAACACTCACTTGTGGATGTTTAGCCAGATACCAAGCTGTATAAGAGAGTGTATTGGAAGTGGTGTCGAAACCGGCCAAAAGGAAGACAAAGCACTGCATCACCACCTCTTCTTCTAACATGTGACGAACAATCTGACAATGAGATTGCTTACAATTCTATATCTAGACAGCAGCGAATCTGCAAACATTCTAGTTCTAGGCTGAAGTACTTTAGATTTTCTAAATTAATAATAAACATTGCTAGAAAGATGTTTCTAGATTCTACAAGAGGCTCTTTGAGAATTCCTTTTAAAGCTACTTCCTCTACTAGATTGAAAAAGTCTCTCACTTGTGCATTCTTTCCACTGAGCCCCTCCTCGGCTTTCAAATCAACATCGGCCTCAGCATCGAGAAAAAGATCGATGAAATCAATGGAATCTTTCTCTTCTAACGAAACGACACCTCCTTTTGCCTGAAATATTGGGTTGATGAATTGGAAACTGCCGGCTATTGTCATATGTGACAGTTTGAGCACTTTCTTCAAAAGAAACCCATTTTGGTGTCAATGGAAAAGTTGTAGAGAATCAAAAACAAGCTTATATCCAAATTTTCAGAACGACTCAAAACTGGTTTTCAAGAAATGCGGAATTTACGAATTTTCACAAAACTTGCATTTTAAGCGAAACTACTAAGTGTATCTTTTGGAAATTTGGCTATAAGCCTCATTTTTGATTCTCTACAACTTTTCTATTGACACCAAAATGGGTTTCTTTTGAAGAAAGTGCTCAAATGCTCAAACTGGGACATCTCCAGTCCTCGATTTTTGAGTCTCACACTTGTCTCACACACAAACCAAAATCCTACTACGAAAGAGGAATCCGCAAATTGTCTGCAAAATGGGCAGAAGTCGTCAATAATAATGGAAATTATTTGGAATGAATTTATGGTTTTATGTTGAATAAATTTTAGTTCAAAGTCCCGCAATTTTCAATTCACCAACCGAATAGAATCTAGACTCTAGAGCTGGCCAAATCGAGTCATAGCTTGCCTAGATCTAGCTCATATCCCATAACCGTAATCCTAGCGCTTAACCAAGCCCGGTTTGCAGTAAAATCAAATCAATATCAAGATCAAGAATTCAAAGTCAAAGCCTGTCTAGGTCTAGGCTTTCCGGGCTGCAGTAAAGTCAGGCCAAGCCGTAAACCAGCCTAGATCTGGTTTCAGCTTCTGAATTGACTAGCTTTGGAAAAACTAGTCTTATACACGAACCAAAAATCCTACTACGAAAGAGGAATCCGCAAATTGTCTGCAAAATGGACAGAAGTCGTCAATAATAATGGAAATTATTTGGAATGAATTTATGGTTTTATGTTGAATAAATTTTAGTTCAAAGTCCGGCAGTTTTCATTTCACCAACCCAATAACAGAATGTGATCAGTTAGTGATCATCAGTTATCACTAGCTTATTTTTCTTGTATCAAGTCTTGGCGTAGTGGCTCACCCTTTGCGCTTTTCTCTCGGCTACTGCTTTCTCGATACGATTTAGAAGCTTGCCACCAGCAAATTTGAACATTTTGCCATCACCGTGAAAAGATATCGAATATACTATAATAATAATTATTTGTTTTTCGGATAAATTCCAAATCTAAATTCCAAGCTTCTCTCAACTGGAACTAACTTTTCTCAAAAATGGACTCATAGCGGCCCAAAAGAAGAACGGATCTCAGGGATCTCGGGTAGTTACCTTAATCTTAATGTACAAAGTGTTCAAGAGTTATGGGCACTTTTTCTCTAGTGGATAACTCCGTCTAGAGTTAACCATTTCTTATAAAACTTTTTTTTGGTAGAATTTACTGCTTATTTTCAACACTTTTACTTCGATACTTTACTTAAAAGTCAAAATTAGCAATTCTATAAAGCTTCAAATCTCAGAAACTCGAGAGCCTCTGAGACGCGGCTTTTTGTGGAGCAAACTTTTGAATTTAACAATTATTTTAGTACCCAATCATGGATGAAAGACTTTTACAAATTATAAATTCAGAAAAACTAACAAGGGAGCCTTTCCAAGTTACCCGCGAGTTACAATATGAAATAAGTGCCAAAAAAGACTTGAAAATGTACGCTCAGAAACTGTTTTCAAAAACCGCTAATCGCTAAGACCCACAAAGTTATAGCCATTTGAATTTCGAAAAAATGAAGGCTTTCTCTCGAATGTTTTCGAATGGTCAAAAAAAGGAAAAAGTTTGACTGCTGGTGGATCCAAACCAAGATCAAAGGTTCCGAGCTCAGGCACACTAGCCACCAGGCTACGAGCTGACTCTTGGGAAAGGAAAGCCGGCAAAAGCCGCCAGCAAAAATCAGTATGCCAGAAATTCATTTTTCATTTTTTCGAAATTCAAATGGCTATAACTTTGTGCGTTTTGCCGATTAGCGGTTTTTGAAACGGCTTCTGAACATACATTTCAGGCCTTTCTTTTGGTACCTCATATTGTAAATCGTGATAACTGGAAAGGTAAACTTACGTGGGTAACTTTCCCTTGTCAACTGTTTACTACTAGTTTTAGAGTTTCGAACTTCTATAGAATTGCTAATTTTGAGTTTCTGAGTAAAGTATTAAAGTAAAGTGTTGAAAATAAGCAGTAAATTCTATAATTTATAGGCAATGATTAACTCCTAGACGGAGCCAGTGACCGTAAAGAAAGAAAGTGAAAGAAAAAGTGGCCGTAATTCTTGAAAAATTCTGTATTCGATTAAATTCGAACACTCACATGTATCAACTTTTTAGCATATTCACTCTCCCATTGAGTCAAATCTTTGATTCCCATAGCGACCCGACAAATCACATCAATCGAATATTCTTGAAAGTAACTGAAAGTAGATTTGATTTCGTGAATTAATGGTGATTAGAATTGCTTATCGATACAAACGGTAAGCTCATTTTTGATCGTTCAGATCTCGGTTTTTAGAACAGTTTGATATCTCTTATTTCATTGGAAAGCCAAGAATGTCAGCTTTTGATTGTTATTTTATACATATCGACTTTTTAATGAGTGCTTTAAAGAGAACGACTTTTTAAACCTTATCGATGCTTATCGATATCCAAAGTCACGATTCTCGATAAGTGTTGATAAGTTTTTAAGGCACTCTCCTATGAGAATTTCCTATATTTGATGTAGCAATCAAAAGCTGAAATTCTTGGCTTTCCAGTGAAACAATTTGCAGATATCAATCTATTCTAGAAACCGAGATCTGAACGATCAAACATGAACTTGCCATTCGATAATATCAACAAGCAAGTCTAGTAGTGAATCATAATTTTGTTGTTTCGAAATTGTTTCGAAATTGTTGGTGCTTAAAATTGCTTATCGAGAAAAACGGTAAGCTCATTTTTGATCGTTCAGATCTCGGTTTCTAGAACAGATTCATATCTAAGTTTAGCTTTTGAAAGACTAAAAATTCACGCACGGATGGATATCAATCGGAGCTCCGTTCGCGTTTTTCCGATATGTTTAAGGAGATGTTTAGCAGAATCGTCGACAGTGGGAGTAAATCTGAAGAGTGAATTTTACAGAAACCTTTCTAAAAGGTTTGGTTCAATAGATTTTTATGAATTGGTAAGTTGATTAAATTTTCAAAATGAAACCAGAGCTTAACGAAAAGACGGGTACCCGGATAACTTTTAACTTAAATAACCCGGAAAAAGTTGTTGTCACACGCTTAATTTATTTAGAGTATTATATAGAGAATTGTAGCCCATAATCTTGGCTACATTTCTCTACTAAAGCTTCCCGATTGGACTTATACACTCTGTCAAAAAAGTATAGACGCCCCTGTTTTGCTAGTTTAGAGCCGGATATAAGTGCTAGTCCAGTGAAAAGTATTTTTAGTTCCTTTAATGTAAAAACAACCCATACAAAATTTCAAGTCATTTTACTCATCCAAAGTACTTTATCATTACAAAAAGCGTTTTATCAGCTGTCAAAAAATTATAGACGCTCTTTTATTTTATCAAGAAAAAGTTAACAGAAATAAAAATAACAACACAAACCAAATAAATTAATAATGTGTGACACCTCCTTTCTTTAGTCCAACTTCAAAAGACGTCTCGGCATCGAAGAGACAAGGTCATGGAGCACTGTTGGCTGAAGCCGATTCCAGGCTACTTGAATGGCTTTCTTGAGTTCATTCACGCTCGAATATTGCTTGTTTCCCTTGTAGACATCTCGAACGAGTGTCCCCCACACATTCTCAATCGGGTCAGTACTAGTAAACGAACTCCCCTCCCATTTGGTCTTCTGAGTTCTTTTGAGCGAAATTGATACGGGCGGCTTTATGGTCCTTTGTAAGTCGTGGAGCTTGCTTCATGAGTTTGTATTTGAAGTATTGTAGATCGTTTGACAACGTTGTGCACAGTTTGGCGAGGATGTTATTGCCCGGATTGTTGTTCAGATAGACGGCTAGATGTTTGTCCAACACTTGTTGATAGTCAAGCGTCATCCGGGTCGAAATAAACTAAAGAATCGAGCAATGTCCCTGTTTGAGTGACCAAGCGTGTGGAGCACATCGGTACGCGTTTTTTCCACCAAATCAAGTTGTTTTCCAAGTGGCATATCTGAGACAATAAAACATTTATAAACATAACTAATAAGCAAAAAAATGAAAAAAAATTAACAATTATCGATCGAATAAATCGTCAAATAAAAGTGGGTCTATAATTTTTTGACAGCTGATGAAACGTTTTTTGTACGATAAAATACTTTGCATGAGTGAAATGACTTGAAATTTTGCATGGGTTGTTTTGACATTAAAGAAACTAAAAAATACTTTTTCACTGGACTACGCACTTTTTTTATTCGGCTCTAAACTACAAAAAAAAAGAAAAAAACTGAGAACTCTCTGACAAAGTTTAAAACTCATTTAACAAGCCCTTGGATGAGTACTAGTCGATCCCTATCGAAGCTCGATAGAACTTAGAACCGAGCTGATCCAAAAATTTTTTAGGAACGAATAGTCCAATCAGATGATCTAATCCAGATTCCATACTAACACAAAACTTTTTCCAAGCTTTTATTTGAGAATTGTGGAGAGACGAGAGCTCTCAGCCTCCCCCTCCGCACTCCCCACCCATCAGCCATATGAGAGTCTCGATCATCGGCGCACTTGGTTGTAAGATTGGAGGAAACTAGAAACACTCAAAGTATTCTGAAATGATTATTTTGACTAGAATATGGTCATATTTTAGGCTTTTCCAATGTTTATCAATAACAATAACTCTTTCTGTGAGTTAAATCAAGCCCGTTTCCTTTTACTTTGCAAAATATTGCACTCGATAAGCGATATTGGATTATCATTCACTAGATTTTGATTATCAAAATTATGATTCACTATTAGACTTGCTTATCGATATTATCGAAATGGCAAACTCATGTTTGATCGTTCAGATCTCGGTTTTTCTAGAATAAGATTGATATCTGCAAATTGTTCCATTGGAAAGCCAAGAATTTCTGGCACGGGATGCTACATCAAATATAGGAAATTCTCATAGGAGAGTGCCTTAAAAAGCTTATCAACACTTATCGAGAATCGTTACTTTGGATATCGATAATTATCGATAAGGTTTAAAAAGTCGTTCTCTTTAAAAGCACCCATTAAAAGTCGATATGTATAAAACAACAATCAAAAAGCTGAAATTCTTGGCTTTCCAATGAAACAATTTGCAGATATCAAACTGTTCTAGAAACCGAGAGGGGAACGATCAAACATGAGCTTACCGTTTGTATGGATAAGCAATTCTTCGCACCATTAATTCGAAATGAAATCTAAGTGTTTAATGTGATACTTTTAAATGTGCGCATCTGAAAGAATACTCCAAAAAATGGCCACCTTTCTTTGCTGAAACTCATTCGAATCTGCAGTGGAGCAGCTCTTTGACAACTCAGGACTCAGAGATCACCAACACATTCGTCGGCCCTTCCTGGTAGCCCCACCACTTGCCGAATTTCTAGATCATCTCTTCTTAAGCGGGAATAAACTGTTTTACGCCGCGTGGGCGTCCCAGAGTGATTCTAAGGCGCGGCGACTGATCGGACGGCCCCGCGGAAGCTATAGGTTCGACTCCCTTCGGCAGCTTTTTCCCTGCTTTTTGCTTCAGAAATGTTTTCAAACTTTTGCAAAATATGTTTTTGAGATAATAAGTGGACATGGGTTCAGTTCGGTTTGGGTTTGCTTTGGTTTTGTTGGGTTTAGTTCGGTTTGGGTTCGGTTTCGGATCGAACCAAACCGAAATTTTTTACGATTTCGGGTCTAGCGGTACAAAAAACCTTTCTCATTTATTTTGAAATGCACTTTTTTTATGCAAATTTTCTATTTCAAGCGTAAATGGAGATTTTTCTACAAAAGATATCCAGTTCGGTAGTTTTATTGATGACTTCGAGATAAAGGAAATAAAAGTGTAAAGTGCATTCGATTGGACTTAAAAAAATTAGCTGCAAAACTGAATTAACTGAAATTTTCGGGATTAGATCGAGACCGAATCGAAATTTGCGAACTTTCGGTTTTGAACCGAACCGAAGC